GTTTCTCACCCAAGCCAGTAGGTGTTAATCTGCTTAAGCCTGCCTGAGTGGATCTGTTAGCTTGCTGGCACATGGCCATTTAGGGGTTTTGTTTCCCAGACCACAGGAGCCCATTTTTCCAAGAGTTCCACTAGCTTTTTGTTTGATAACGTCTATTTCTAGCAGCATTTACTCCTTCAACAACAAATTCAATGGAACAAAAATTTACTGAACACCTACTATTTGGCAGACCCTCTGTTGGGGATACAGAGATGAATAAGGAGCAGTTGCCATGCTCCAGAAACTCACACAAAAATAACTTCTGCATTCTCTCAGGTGATGGCTATTCTCACTGCGTCTTCCTACTGCTTGAGGGTGGGTGGGGGCAGAAAACCCTTTGGCGTCCTTCGTTGCCCCTCTTAAATACCCACCGACCTCACTGCGCTCTCCTGAGGGCCCTGGGGCTTGAAGGGTTAATTACTTGCTTGCTGTGGCTGGTTCATTGTTTGCCCAAACTTCTCACCCCCTCCAATTCCATTTCTAATTGTGAAATTTGCTTCATATATTTTAATAATGCTTTTCTTTTCACAGAGGCAATATACATTCTTTATAGAAAAGTACAGATAAACCAAAAAAAGATAGAATATTAAAACTGTTCTCAGCAATAACCTGTTTTTAATAAAAAGGGTACTTAAAATTATAAGTTATATAATTTTATATGAAGTTCAAAATATAGAGGAGAGCAGTCACCCATAATCCAATCATCTGAGACACGGGCATTTTGTTTTCATTTTTCTCCTTCCAGTCTTCTTGCATTTATTATAAATGACAGCTAGCATACAGCCTGCTAAAGTCATTATCTTTGCGGGTGGAAATATGGTATGGATGTCTAAATGATGAAGGGGTACTTTTAGCTGTACTGGTGGATAAGGATTTTGTGATTTTGCAGAAAGACATGAGTTTAGAAGTTTATTCACTGTTAGTTAATTCACTGTTGCTATTCAAACATTTCATCCCTAATGACAGAATCTGACCCAAGAAACTTGTCTTCTTTGGAACCTGAAATGAGAAATAAAGAAATGTTTACTTTAATAAAGTCTGATATGAGACTTCCCCGGTGGTCCAGTAGTGAAGACACCATGCTCCCAATGCAGGGAACCAGATCAGGGAATTAAGATCCCACAGATGACATGAAGTGGCAAAAAAAAAAAAAAAGTCTGATAGAAGAATACCTGAGTTCATAAGAGTGCTTGAATAACATTAAAAGCCTACCATGTGCCAGGCTCTTTGACATATATTATCTCAGTTAATCTTCATAACAGTCATATAAGATAGGTGTATCTATTCCTAATTTACAGATGATGAAATAAAGGGATATAAAATTTAAGAGGCTAGCTCAAGATCTGACAACCAGTGCGTGGCAAAACTAGGACCTGGAGCAAAGAGACATTATGGTAGAATTCCACTTTTAAATGAAAACCTTTCCTTTATCTTCCCAGAAGAATTTCAAGATAAAAATGGTCTGCTGCAGAAAGTACAAGATTGGAGGACCAAACCTTTCTCTTTTCAGTTCACTTCAGTTCAGTCACTCAGTCATGTCTGACTCTTTGCGACCCCATGGACCACAGCACGCCAGGCCTCACTGTCCATCACTAGCTCCCGGAGTTTACCCAAACTCATGTCCATTGAGTCGATGATGCCATCTAACCATCTCATCCTCTGCCGTCCCCTTCTCCTCCTGCCTTCAATCTTTCCCAACATCAGGCTCTTTTCAAATGAGTCAGCTCTTCGCATCAGGTGGCCAAAATACTGGAGTTTCAGTTTTAACATCAGTCCTTCCAGTGAACACCCAGGACCGATTTCCCTTAGGATGGACTGACTGGATCTCCTTGCAGGCCAAGGGACTCTCAAGAGTCTTCTCCAACACCACAGTTCTAAAGCATCAATTCTTCAGCACTCAGCTTTCTTTATAGTCCAACTCTCACATCCATACATGACCACTGGAAAAACCATAGCCTTGATTAGACGGACCTTTGTTGGCAAAGTAATGTCTCTGCTTTTTAATATTCTGTCTAGGTTGGTCATAACTTTCCTTCCAAGGAGTAAGCATCTTTTAATTTCATGGCTGCAATCACCATCTGCAGTGATTTACTTTGCCTTAAAAATGACCTCTGTTTAACAAGTTCTTTAGTCTTCCATGTGCCTAAAAGGAGGTGTCTAATCCTATTCCCAGTACCTTTCAAAATCGGTTTAATCATTTCTATTGTATCAACATTCTAACACTTATCAGAAATTAAGTTGATGAATTTATTATCACTATTAGTGATTTCTTAAATTACCCTTTTTTATTCTCACCATCTCATAAAGTTCCTAAGCCTCTTGAAGGTTTTAAATTTTGTCAGGTTCTTTCCCCAATCCCTAGCACTTTCAAGGTATCCAATTAAAAAGCAAATTAATGGAATTAATAGTATGTATGGACTAGGTCAACATTAAGGTCACTGTCTAATAATCTTCAAAAAGACTTGGGTAGGTGGAGCCCAATAATCTCCTTATGTTTGTTTAAAGCAATTTGTTGGATCCTTAACACCTGTTGAGTTTAGTGTTGAGAAGTTATTTGGAGAGCCCATTGGAGCTACATCGCCCGAGCTTTTTTTGTCCTCTCTCCGCTCTTCGATCTTTTTTTCTTCTTGTTTTCCCTTTTTCTTTTTAAAAATTTTGTTTATTTTAATTGAAGGCTAATTATTTTACACTATTGTAGTGGTTTTTGCCATACAGTGACATGAATCAGCCATGGGTGTACCTGTGTCCCCCATCCTGAACCCCCCTCCCACCTCCCTCCCTATCTCATCCCTCAGGGTTGTCCCAGTACACTGGCTTTGAGTGCCCTGTTTTGTGTATCAAATTTGGACTGGTGATCTATTTCACATATGGTAATATACATGTTTCAGTGCTATTCTCTCAAATCATCCCACCCTCACCTTCTCTCACAGAGTCCAAAAGTCTGTTCTTTATATCTGTGTCTCTTCTNTCTTTTTTCCATTGTATATCCTTGCCTCCTTTGTCGAAGATAAGGTGACCATAGGTTCGTGGATTTATCTCTGGGCTTTCTATTCTGTTCCATTGATCTATATTTCTGTCTTTGTGCCAGTACCATACTGTCTTGATGACTGTGGCTTTGTAGTAGAGTCTGAAGTCAGGCAGGTTGATTCCTCCAGTTCCATTCTTCCTTCTCAAGATTACTTTGGCTATTCACGGTTTTTTGTATTTCCATACAAATTGTGAAATTATTTGTTCTAGTTCTGTGAAAAATACCATTGGTAGCTTGATAGGGATTGCATTCAATCTATAGATTGCTTTGGGTAGTATACTCATTTTCACTATATTGGTTCTTCCAATCCATGAATATGGTATATTTCTCCATCTATTTGTGTCATCTTTGATTTCTTTCATCAGTGTTTTATAGTTTTCGATATATAGGTCTTTTGTTTCTTTAGGTAGATTTATTCCTAAGTATTTTATTCTTTTTGTCACAATGGTGAATGGAATTGTTTCCTTAATTTCTCTTTCTTCTCATTGTTAGTGTATAGGAATGCAAGGGATTTTGGTGTATTAATTTTATATCCTGCAACTTTACTATATTCACTGACCAGCTTTAGTAATTTTCTGGTGGTGTCTTTAGGGTTTTCCATGTAGAGGACCATGTCATCTGCAAACAGAGTTTTACTTCTTCTTTTCCAATCTGGATTCCTTTTATTTCTTTTTCTTCTCTGATAGCTATAGCTAAAACTTCCAAAACTATGTTGAATAGTAGTGGTGAGAGTGGGCACCCTTGTCTTGTCCCTGACTTTAGGGGAAATGCTCTCAATTTTTCACCATTGAGGGTAATGTTTGCTGTGGGTTTATCATATATGGCTTTTATTATGTTGAGGTACATTCCTTCTATGCCTGCTTTCTGGAAGATTTTTATCATAAGTGGATGTTGAATTTTGTCAAAGTCTTTCTCTGCATCTATTGAGATAGTCATATGGTTTTTATCTTTCAATTTGTTAATGTGGAAGAAATAGAAAGTCTTAACAGACCCATCAAAAGTATGGAAATCTAAACTTTAATAAAAAATCTTCCAACAAACAAAAGCCCAGGACCAGATGGCTTCACAGGTTTCACAATTTTTCTACCAAAAATTAGAGAAGAGCTAACACCTATTCTACTCAAAGTCTTCCAGAAAATTGCAGAGGAAAGTAAACTGCCAAACTCATTTCATGAGGCTACCATCACCCTAATACCAAAATCAGACAAAGATGACACAAAAAAAGAAAACTACAGGCCACTATCACTGATGAACATAGATGAAAAAATTTTCAACAAGATTCTAGCAAACAGAATCCAACAACATATTAAAAAGATCACATATCATGACCAAGTGGGCTTTATCCCAGGGATGCAAGGATTCTCCTTTTTCTTCTTTTAAAATTTTCATTTAAAACCCTTTGGCCACCAGTCTCTGTACTAAGCACCAGGGACCCAATGGTGGGCAATATAGGCAAGGCCCCTACCCTCATGTAGCTGACAGTCTGGTGGGGAGGGGGATCAGACACTAATTGAATCACATTCATGAATGGCTGTAAGGTTACAAATAGTGCTAGGCATAATCATGCTGTATGGGACCTGACTTAATGGGATCTGGGCTTAGGAGACAGCTTCTTCATATTAAAATATGAAGAATGAGTGGGTACTTAGGGAAGACTGAGGTTTCCAGGCAGTGGAAATGGCTGTGCAAAGGCCTTGTGGTGCTGGGAATTGTGGTACTCTGGATAAATGAAAGAAAGCTATGGTGGCTGGATCAGAGGTACAAAAGCAGGGAGTGAGGGATGCTTCTGGTGAGGTCAGTAAGAACCATGACACAGGATGTGTAAAGATTCTGGCTTTCAGCTAGAGAGCAGTGGGAAACCACTAGCATGCTAGGGAAGAACCAGGGGGAGTGAGAACTGCGGGTGATGATGCATCTTCGCTTATCTCTGCAGGAGCGATGCAGTCGTACACGTGGTCTCTAACGTACACGGTGACAACAGCGGCAGGGTCCCCGGCTGAAAACTCTCAACAGCTGCCCTGTATGCGGAGCACGCACGTGCCTTCCTCTTCGGTCACACACAGGATACCAGTTTATCCCCACAGAGAGGAGCACGGGTAGGCGGCTTTCCTGGGATGTCTTCTTACTTTTGCTCTGAAAGGGCAGGGTTTACTCAGCAGTGGTTTCCGCAGAGGACAAGAAGGACTTGCCCTTTGTTGTGGTCTGCCCACACCTCGTACGACTATCTCACGCACTCCCCTCAACAACCAGATGAGGTGGGCAGGTAACCCACTTGACAGACAAAGAAACTAAGGCTGGACTAAGTTCACTTCCTCAGGCCACAGGGCTGCTAAGGGTGGGGCTGATTGAGAATCTGTCTGCCTCCTTAAGGAAGAAAAATGGAAAAGTCCCTTTCACCAGCTCTGCTGGGTGGCTACTTTATAGGCGTATAACATACAGCTTCATGGTGGGTCCAAGTCTCCATCAGCGGGGCACTTCCCCACCCAAGGCTGGGGGTCCCCGGAGGCAGGGCTTACTCATGGGGTTCAACTCCCAAGTGGGTCCCAAAGGTGATTTGGACCCTGAATAAATAAATCATTTGTTTTGCCCATATTTCCCCCCAAATCTGTAGTGGTGTTATTGCGATGAATAAGTTACAAATCCCTTTAAAAGGGTAACCTGAATCGTAGCAGCTTTTTGCCATTTTGCATTGTCTTTATGAAAAGACCTTCCTCCTCCAGAGTCTACTGTGCACTGATCTGAGAAACACTGATGATGTTATAAAGGGCCCTCCTTCTCAAGAAGGTGAGACCCAGCTCTGAGGGCACAGTGAGCTTCACAAACCAGGTTCTACCAGACCAGCTGTGGGGGACACAGGACGGGAGGGAGGAGGACCACTCAGGTCCCTTCCACGCAGTAACTGAGACTTGACTGTGGGCATACTTGGAGTTAATTCCAAAGGCTCAGGTGCCCCTGCAGTCAGTGTGACAGCCATTATTTTCTCAGGGGACCCCTGAGAGTATTTCCCCCACATATTCAAAGTCGGCTTAGCATTGTTTCAGAGAGCTTTCAATTCTGCAGAAATGACAGAATATAGATACTCACGTGGTCATACACCAGCATCTTTGATGTAAAGATGTTATTAAGAATAGTGGTAACAAATATGTTTCCAAAACAGTATCCTATGTTTATAAAGTGTCTGCAGATACACGACTCTCAGAGAAGCCAGGTGCAGCATTTTTTACAGATGTGAGAAACAAGGATGCAAGTAGCCCAGGGCCCCACAGCTAGGAGCTGGTGGAGCCAGGCTTAGAACCGGAGGCTGATGCCTGGCTGGCCATGGTGTTTTCCCCAGGAGAGAGCAGAGAAACACACTGCATCCTTCCCCAAGATGGAGAAGCAGAGGCCTGAGCAAAACAAAAACATAAGTCCCTAAGTAATTTCTTTTTTTCCTGTTTGACTTCAGGCTATAATGTGGGGGAAATGTTGTTACCACAACAGGAGACAAGGTCTCCATCACTAACGATGTTTTGCTCAGGGCTGGTTTTCATTCCCTGCACACTCGCTGGGCGGTGAGGGAGGAAGGCTGAGGGGAGAAGGAAGAACCGCCTGGGGGTTTGACACTGTCACAACAAAGCCACAGAGTGGAGACGGTAGGAAACTAAAAGAAAAACAAAAAGAAAGAAAAAGGAGAAAAAGGAGTAAATGAGGTTGTTTTTTTAAAGGTGTCAAACTGCTCTGTTCTCCCTGCCGTTACTCACAATATTCCATGCGCCTCCTGCGTTTTAGATACACGGGCAGCTATAACTACGGGAGCTATGGCAACCAGCATCCTGCCCCGATGCAGAGCCAGTACCCAGCGCTCCCACACGACACGGCCATCTCAGGACCGCTGCACTACCCCCCGTACCACAGGAGCTCCGCGCAGGTGAGTCGGGGGTCCTGCCTGCCTTGCCCAGGCCTTGGTGAGCTTGGCGCCAGGTCTAGTCAACACAGTTAATAAGCACCTTCTGCATACTGTGCCTGCAACCTCTGTGCCTCCAAGGGAAGGCTGGTCTTTTCTTCAGTGCCACTTCATCCCTCCCGTGGCTGCCCGCAGTGGGCGCTCAGTCAGTGTAACCCCGACTTGCTTTCACGAATGTGGGTACCGACCGTGTGCCTCTAGTTCTGTCCTCCCTGTGACCTCTCTCCTGGGAGCCAGTCAGCAGCGAGGTCTGTTACCCTTTCTTCGGGCAGCCACCTTCAGGCTGGATCTTTTGTCTCCTCTCCCATCGCCCCTTCCTGGTGCAGTCAGACCTTCATCAAGGGCTGTCAGGATGGTCATCTCGCATTATCCTAACTGGTCTCTCAGTTTCACATCTGTTCCTGTTCAGTCCAGCAGCCCAACCACAGACTCTTAGTAGAAGAGTCTTCCTGAAATGGACCCCTAACACATCATTCTCAGGCCTTTGGCTCTTCACTGTCTCACCAGCCACACTGATCCTCTGTGGCCTCGGTGAATGGGGACAGTGGCTGCCGCTGTTACATCAGTGTTAGGCGCTCTACATGCCTCAGACGCTTTGCTGTCTACTGGCCCCAAACACAAGTGGTCACCAGTTCCATCCAGTTCCACATCCTTCGTGTCTCTGGACGCTCACCGTCCTTGCCTCAGATCAGGTCTTTATCCAACTTAGACGATGACCAAAGCCTTCCTGTCTGTCTGTCTTTGTGTCGGTAACTTGTCCCATCCTTGGTCCATCCTCAGTACTGCAGCTGTGAGAATCTTTTGGGTAAAACAAAACAAAAACCTGGCCACAACACTCTTCCTCTTTTGTGTATCGTCACTTTGAGGGTCAAGTTCAATTCCTTAGCACGTCTCTCAAGACTCAGGACCACCTGGGCTCTGCCTGCCTTTTTGGCCTACCAGCCACACCCCACCTTTGTCCCTCCATGCCAGCTCACGTGCAGCTCCCTCGGGTCTTTGCAGATGCTGTTGCCTCGGGCCGGGAGTCTCTTCCTCAGCCTCTTCTGCTTGTTGCTCAAGACAAGCATCCCATTTGCTGACACTGCCCTCGTCCTTCCTCCAGAACCATGTTAGGTGACATTCTTCTGTACTCAAATGGTGTGTTGGGCTTTCCTCTATTGGTATACTTCTCATCACTGACTTTCCTGATACCCGCAAGAGATCCCAAAACTTCTTGAAGGCAGAAATTAAGTCTAGGATCCTTGGGTCACTGCACTCATCAAAAAGAAAAGCTAACTGTTACTGAACGCTGTCCTGTGCCAAGCACCTTCCACATCCCCATGGTAACCCTTGCAGCAAGGAAGTGATGGTAACTTGGTCGAGGACTTAACCCTGGGCGGCGTGACCCCAGCTGTACAGGCTCCTAAGCCCTCGCCTCTGTCACCATTCAGAGAGAGCAGGCGCTGCTTAATTTAACAGAGGAGTGAACAGGAGGTGGGTCAGCAGAGATAACTGTGGTGTGAGGCAAGCAGGGTGGGAGCCGCGTTAGGTCTGGGAGACATGATGAGAGTTCAGCCTAGGAAAGAGCTTCTGCAGCACTGCTGAGACCAGGAGTAGAGAGGGGACCAGCAGAGCAGGGAGGCTGCCAAGGAAGCACGTGCAGGAGTCTTAGAACAGAGGTGGCAGGATGTGAGCTGAAGTGGAGGCTGCAATGACATCAGCTGTCAGCACAGACTTGCCTCCGAGGGAGGGCACTGAGCAGAGTGTATCCACAATACACGGGCACTTGGGGCAAACAGGCGTCTGTTTTGATTTCTATCCGCAATCCCAGGGGAGCCCTGGGATACTCCCCAGACAAGCCAAGAAGTTGATTCCTCTAAACCATCACCTGGGGCATTATTATAGGTCTCCATCTGCGTCACACAGAGACACCCGCTCCCTAGGTCCTGCTTCTCTTGGGACCAGGGTCTGTGCTCCCCATGTTGATCTCCTAAATGACAAAGAGCTGCTGCCATAGACTGGGTCACACTTTCACAGTATAAGCAGCCCATCTCTCCATCCATTCATTCATTCCCCCATGACCGTTGAGTACCTACTATGTGGCAAACACTGCCCTAGCCTGTGAGAATATAGGGAGAAGGAGATGGAGGCAAGCCTGCTTTGAGAGAGCTTCCACTCCAGTAGGAAACCCTGGCGAGACCAAGCTGAGATCCCAAGCCACAACTGCTGGCATTATCTTCCCCCTTTCTTCACCCCCTCATCTCTCCTCATGAAACTTCTGGAGCTGGTTTTTCTGGGTATTAAATTTTTTAAGCCTTTTGCCATAAAAAGAAGCCACAGGCTCCTAAATGCCCATGCAGCCCCCAGTGGTCCAAGACAGGCCTCAGCATCCACTCTGGAAACCACAATGGTCCCCAGCTGGAGCACCATCATCTAATCATTCATCCTAATTGGAGAGCTGAGGACTAAACAAACGCCTGTGGAGGAGCCGCTGAACCCAGGCTGGGTGTGGGAGGCCACAGGGTCCTGCAGCCCCTTCACCACCATGTTCTGTGACTCTGACCCCCACCACATACTCACACCCTACACTTTATGGTTAATGCCTCTGTCTCCATTTGTAAAGTGGGGTGGAGAGACGTTTACTTACACCACATCTTTGCCCAGGTTGATGGATGAGGCCGGGGTTTCTCCTGGGGAAGGTACTATCTAGTACTATCTAAATCCTTGCTTTTATTTTTCATTCACTTTGATGCACTGTTGAGGCACTTTGAAATGCATAGGCTCACTCAAATCTCAGAGCAACCTCCCAAAGAAGGCATTTTTTCCACTTTTTAAAGATGAGGAAAACCTCAGAAGGTAATTTGCCCCAGGTCATGCATCCAGTAAGTGACCAAGCAGATTCAAAGGCAAATTCTCCAAATCTCAACCCCAAGCCCATGGCACTGAACACTACAGGGTGTGTGTTTTGGAGGGCAGGAGGTAAATTCAAGAGGTTACTGCAGCTATTCTCAATAAGTTTCAGGTTCCCAAAGAGAAAAAACACACACAAAGATACTATATTTCTTTCCTTTCCTGGTACTGTGATTTAAGGTTGAGCACACAGGGGAAAATCTACTGTTGGGCTAATTAGTTTTAGCTTCCCAGAGCAGAGGTCAAGCCAATCCAATCCTGAATACCAAATATCACACTTTATTATAGCAGACTCAGCGGGGAAAAGATTAGTCTGAAGAAAAATCATAATGATAAAATATGGTTAAAGAATGCAATTGGTCATTAACACAAGACAGTACTTTCTGCAAATAAATGCCTACCAGGTTAGTCTTAAAGAAATAATACAAAATTTTTTTGAAGTCCAGTAATTGCAGACATCCCAGCATTTATGTACTCAAAATAATATGAAGTCATTTGTTTTCTGAACTATGGTACCATGTGCCCTTGTTTCTACTACTCATTTGTACAAGACATGGTTTCTTCATGAGTACTACAAAGGTAAACCTCTACTCCTGCTTGAATGCTCATAATTTCTCAATTAGCAAGTCCAGATGGATGAGGCTGCACAGGGAAAGGTTTGAATTATTCCAGAAAAATACCCTTCTTGCTGCTATGCTGCACTTGTCCCAGATCAAAGTAAGTGAACATGGAACAGTATCAGCTGCCCCTTCCCAGGCTCCCCATCCTCATGCCCAACCAGAAAGAAAACAAACACGGAAAACAAACCTGTCAGCAGCAGGCATGAATGTGAACTGGGCTCTTGAGCTCAAAAGCCATTAGACCAACCATAAGCAAACTGGCTAGAAAGACACTTAGAGTGAACCAGAAAATTGTTGCTCATTTCTCAGCTGTGTGGCCAAGACCCAGCCTTGCCAGCTGGTCACATAGCTCTCACAGTGTCTCCCGTGGGCCACGTCCAGTGGGTCCTTGATCTCAGAGACACAGTGATTGCTAGTTTGCTTAGCATGCTCCACTTTGGGGTAGCATCCTGGGCCAAAGGTGAGTGAAAATAGAAAAAGAGATTTTCTCTGACTGTAGAGCCAAGCTTCCTGAGTTCAAATCTCAGCTCAGCCTCTGATTAACTCAGTGCCTCCATCTTCTCATCTGAAAAATGGGGATAATTCTAGTATTTATTTCACAGGGTTGTTGGGAGGGTTGAGTGATTTAATAAAGGTTAGGACAGGGGCTGGCTCATAGTTAACCACTATCTGTGTATATTATTATTATTATTCTTTGTAACACCACAGTTATTATTATTTTTTGTAATTGTAGAATTATTATCTGTTTCCCTCCACTATACTAGCCCTGCGAAGGCAAGGGGGTCCAGGTCCTTCCCCTTCTGACCATTATATTCCCAGGACCCGAGACAGACCTGGCTCTTGGTTGGACCTCAGTATACAATGGTCAGTGAATGAAGGGATGAATGGATCCTTACTCTGGCAGTAAGCTGTGTGTGACCTCAAGAAGATCATTTATCTCTCTCTTGACCTCAGTTCCCTCATGTGTAAAATGAGAGGTGGGGTCATATGGTCAATCACTTAAGGCTCTTCCTATCATTAGTGGACCACGATCCTATGACTCCAGGAAGAAGAATATTCATAATTGCAATTATGTCTTGAAAACGTACTGTGTGGAAGCTCAAGGGCTTCTCAGGTGGCACTAGTGGTGAAGAACCCACCTGCCAAAGCAGGAGACATGAGATATGGGCTCGATCCCTGAGTGGGGAAGATCCCCTGGAGGAGGGCATGGCAACCCACTCCAGCTTCTTGCCTGGAGAATCCCATGGACAGAGGAGTCTAGTGGGCTACAGTCCGTGGAGTCGCAAAGAGTCAGACACGACTGAAGTGACTTAGCACGCACGGACACGCTGTGTGGAAGCCCTAAGTATTTCACATGTACTAACTCAGTTACTCTCGACCCAAAAAACTCAGCAGATGGGGACCGTCTGGCACAGACTTGGGGGAGCTGTGTCCTGGGTGGGGGATGCCTGTTGGCAGGACTTTGGGCAGTGAGAGCCGCCTTTCATGGGAAAACAGGGGGCCACCTTTCACCCGTTCTCCAGTAGAGACCCGTTTGGTGAAGGTCAGGGATAAAGGGCTCATTCTTCTCTCTCCACGTGCAGGAAAGTCAGCGCTTGGTGTGAAAAGTCACTTCTCAAAATAGCACTTCCTAATATGGTTCCAAAGAGGTTTGGGGTCAGTCTCAGCAGAGACGGACTCACACCCTGGTCCCTTGAGGGAATCTTTGCCCACTTGTGCACACACACACCCACACATGCCCACAGGCACCCCTCACACACCTCCCACAGGGCTGGGGACCGGGGACTCACCTCCATTTTCCCATCAGTAGCAACAGTCCTTGATCTGACCTAGAAAAGGGTAACTTCCAGTTAGGGCCTTCAACAAAAAGCGCTTTTATCCTGGACAGAGTTCTGGGGGACCCCAGGGTTTGTGCCCAACATCTGGAGGAGCCCCGTGAACCCAGATGTGAAGTGTGAGAGGTGAGGCGGGTGCTTCAGTCCCACCAGACAGGAGAGCAACTTCACTGGCGGCTTTAATGGCCGGGCCGGGCAGCGGGCACTCCAGCCTCTCAGCTTTCAATGGTCTCTTCACCAAGGGGAAGATGAGGCACTGACTCATTTGCAATTAGCTGACCTAACAGGACAGAATTTTCCAGGCCGGATCCTGTGGTAACAGAATTTTATTGTCACACTGGAGATATTTTGAGCCCATCTCATTTCCAGGCAATTACTCTTTTGAGCCTGTGACACAACCCCTGGGCACAGCTGCATTGAGGGGCCTTGATTTGGCACAAAAGCCACACTCTCTTGAGTTCTGTGGGGAGGAGGCTGCGAGTCCACGTGGTGATATAGTCCCTACGCAGGCCAGGCAAGCGAGGCGCCTCTCAGGAGCATCAGGCTGAGGCCTGGTTGGAGTTGCCAGACCCTGTGGTTTACAGGGGGAGGAAGGTACTTAAAGGCAGAGTGACAGATTCAAGTTTAATGCACTGTGTTCCAAGGGAGAGTCTTCCTGTCTGAATTCTCTGGACTTCAGTTGTGTGGTGGCTTCTGCCTTGTTTGGGCCAAACTGACATGGGGGGAAAGTGCTAGCAGGCCCGGGCTCCCCCACCAGCTCATCCACTAGCTCACCATGGGCCCCACACCTCATCCTGGTTGGATCCTAGCTGTCTCATCAGTGCAACGTGGGGTCGGAGTACATGATCCCTGAGGTTATTTCTAGTGGTAACAACCTAGGGTTCATCCACCGAATAGTTATGTGGCACCTGCTAGGTACCAGGCATCATTCCAGATGTTAGGAACACGGTGGGGAAGACGACACCACCCCACCAGGAGCTTAGGAACATAAGCCAGTGGGAAGAGATAGCTGACAAGCAGGATGCTAAGATCCTGCCCTGAAAGGTGAGGGTGGGGCACTTAGCTTGGAGAGACAGGATGTCCAGAAAACTCTCTTTGAGGCCGTGACATTTGAGCTGAGACCTGAAGAATGATGAAAGGGCAAGCAGAGAAGGGGCTTGGGGGGAGGGGTGGGAGAGACGTGCTCCAGGCGGAGGGAGCAGGTGGAACAAAATACTCTGAAATGGGAACCAGCCTGGCATGCCTGAGGGCCAGAGAGGAGGTCTCTGCGCCAGGGAGGGGACATGTATCCGAGGAGTTTACTAGAGAGGCTATTGGGAGGGGGGAGCAAACTTTTGGGAAAAATTAAAGACCCTTTTGTAATAATATGCTTTAATATTACCTGTTTAATACCTGGGGGCTCATTATCTTGGTCAGGACCCAGTCTTATCATGGTCTCTTTGGGGTTCAGAGGGGCTGCCACACACACACACACACACACACACACAGCTGCTCTGGGGAGTATGAAAGCCTCTGGAGGCTCCCCGTGGTCTCCTTGGCAACAGCCCTGGGTGCCTCCTCTCCCCCGAGCCCCACATACCTACCACCTCCGCCCTTTCACTCTTTTCCGACCTGTTCTTCCGACTGTGTAAGGCAAGCTGTCTGTCCTGTGGAGGACCAAGCCCTCACTACCGGACCTTGCAGCCCTCCTTAGGCTTGACCGGTGAATAGCTGGTTCTCTTCGCCTGCTTTGGGCCTAACAGCCTTCCCCCACTGCCCCTCAGGCTCCCACTCAAAAGGCGGAGAACAGCTCACTTGGCCCCCTCGACGACAGGGAGCAGCCATTGCTGTCATAACCCCTCCTCCTGGCTTGTCTAGGCTTCAGTCTGTCTGTCTCCCTCACAGGAGGCAGCCTCCCACCTAATCCCTCGGGGCTCCACTCTCCAACTGTCAGGGAAGACAGATGGGAGAACAGAAGACTTTGCACATCCGCAGGCAGACTCTCTCCCTACTCGCGGCCCTTGCCATCCTGGCTGACTGGCTCCTGTTCATGTTGGCGTGGCCCTTAGCACAGCAAGGAAAGCTTTGTGCTGACCAGCCTGCAAACGGAGAGCTCTAGCAAAGGGAGCCCAGAACTCCTCCCCTTTCTCCCCTCTGATCTACTAAAAGCAGCTCATTTGCATAGCTGTCTTGGAAACTGAAGAGAATGTAAACGAAGCAGCACTTTGGGGCACTCCTCTTATTTCTGATTCTTTCTAGAACTGTTTCCTCTCTTCTGATAGCTATTCACACCTTTTTTCCTGACCTGCACAAAAGCACCTTCCTCCCTTCCCAGGGGCTTATCTTAACTCCTTCCACATTCATACCAAGGCCAATAACTCACCAACCTATCTTCTAGGACTTCAGTGAATGTGAACACAAAAGAGATGTTCTCTAAATGATAGGCACTAATGATAACCTTCGACGCTGTTGACTTGCTTCCTCTTCAAAAACCTGCTTTTACGCTGCAGTTCATAATTGGATTCAATTGCAAAATGCTATTTTTAATGAGGTCGTTGTGTTTTTCTTGGCAGTATTGTTCTCTTGGGTTGATGGAGTGGGACCTATCACAGCTCCATAAATGATAAAATGATACAGCTCAAACCCATCCATCCATTCATCCATGTCTATTTGGACATTCTGTGACTCAGGTACACACGCACTCACTCTCTTTCTCTCTCTCTCTCCTGTATTCCCAGTGGGGTTATTCCTTCTTTGGGGTTTGACTTCCCCAAACATTGCAGATGAAGAGCACAAAGTCTGTATGATTGGTTGAATGAATATCAGCCCAGCTCTGGCTATGAAATGTTTTGCCCTTCTCCTGCCGGATGCTTCCTAGACCAAGAGTCAGTCTTGCAGAATCTCACTGATGACTTCCCACCAACTTTCATTAACAGAGTCTTAAGAATTTAACGTAAACTGTGAACATGACTGATACTGTGTATGTGCAACTTCAAGCTAATTTTAACTTTGTGGAATTTCTTTCCCCTCAACAAGTACCCTTTTAATAGCCCCACTTCCCGGATGGAACCTTGTCTGATGAGCAGTACTCCCAGACTGCATCCTACCCCAGTCACCCCCCGATGGCCAGAGGTGCCCACAGCCAACACGTGCTACACAAGCCCGTCCGTGCATTCCACGAGGTATGGAAACTCTAGTGACATGTACACACCCCTGACCACGCGCAGGAATTCTGAGTACGAGCACATGCAACACTTTCCTGGCTTTGCTTACATCAACGGAGAGGCCTCCACAGGATGGGCTAAGTGACTGTTTTCATAGGAATTCATATTTAATATTAATAATAATTAATAATAATAATAATAAACCCATCACCCACCCACCCCCAGAAGACTTTATCTCTCTACATCGTAACTCCTGGACTATTCCTAGGCATCCACTTTCCTAATGAACATGAGGCTGGGTTTCAGTGCGGGATGAATAAACTTTAGTTCTGAAACTGGTCTCACTAAGAGTCAGTGAGATTGGGCTCCCGTAGCCAAACCAGACTTGACTGTTTGTACAGAGCACTATCTCGGGCAGGCCGACCCGTGACATTTCCCTCTGTTCCATGACTTCACAACCACTCCCAGTAAACCACTTACTTTCCTGTTGACAAAAACTCTTTAGTCTTAAAGGATGGATACTAGAGACAGAATCTTGGCACTCTTGGATGGGCACATAATTGACCAAGAGCATTCACCTTTCCATCCGGCTGTCATCTTACCGTACAACGAACAGCCTTCAGAAGTGTCTTAAACATCCCAACTTGCTGGTGGTGTCAGCACTGCTTCCTGGAGCACCAGGGCTAAATGGAGGTGTCCAGAAACCCTAGAGTCCCCGTTACACTCACGCTGTCACCTCACCGTCCCTGCCTGGTCTTGGAATGTAAGCACTGTTGAGAGGGAAGGAAGAGGCCTGTTCTGTATGCCTTAAGTAGACTGAGGTTTGTAGGGGACCGGTTCTTCTACATACAAGTATTTGTCTTAAGTTTGCACAGTGGCTAGTGTCAGCAAAAGGCAGAAGAGGGTTTTCTAAAGTTCTGTGAGAATGCGGACTTATGGCATTGAGCATCACACTCAGCTCTGCTGTATTAACTTTGTGAACCTGAACGGACCAAACTTGTAACTTACCAAGCACCAAGTGTGAAGACGCCTTTCACGGTTCCTTCATAAGACTATAATAATTTCCGACACTTTGATAGAAAAAATTCAAAGCTGTGCCTTTGAGCCTATACTATACTGTGTATGTGTGGAAATAAAAAAAAAATGTATTGTACTTTTGGAAAATTTTTTCATAGGCATTTTTCTGTCAGATT